GCAGTGAGTCTTAAATCTCTAATTATTCTACTGCAGTTTACGGTACAGAGGCTGGGTAGAATAAATCAAATATAATAGACCTTATCTACAGTCTACAATGTAAGCACTAAAGGTCTGGAATACTAAATCTTCCACGAATTATATCTTGAATCCCAACCCAAACGCTGTGCGACAGTTCCACCAGATGATGGAATATTCATTAATTGTTTTCATTCAGAATAATTTCATGTGACCAGCTATTTATTTTACGTTTAATTGTACTAAATTACTAAGGAAATATACTTTGAAATTATCTTACATACAAAGTCAAAAAGTAATAGTTAGTCTAGTCTACCCTAATCCCCGTCTCCCGAATCCCCGAAGCCTCCACAATCCTCAAATTCCCAATTCCCAAAAGGCCGATAACGCACTTGTAACGCCTTGGTGTTTCGAGTGTCCATGGGCGGCGCCGATTGCTTACCATCAGGTGATCCGTCTATTCGTTTACCGGCTTATGCTATAAAAAAAATTGCCAGAATTCCTAATACATAATTATCAAATTCTCAATAATAATTACCAGCAGTCCATACCAGGTATCGAACCTAAGACTGCTCACTACTTTGCCGCGCCGCTAGCTATTACCAACAGGCAATTAAAAACAACGTATTCAGATAATCATTTCAATAAGTATCATAATTGCATAGCAACCTCCAGTTGCATATTTTTGTAACATAGTACGACTACAAAATTCGTAACAAACATTTTAATTCGGTTATTTTTTCGTAAAGTTCAACATTTGTGGTCGGCTATACATCTGGCTTAGTAATTAGTGAAGTTTCTCGAATGTTCGGCGGACGCTCCGAGTTTAGTTCGTCGCTTGGTACATGTACGAGTACATAGATAATACGTACAGATACCAGCTGTCATCCTACTTGATCTAAACTGTTTTAAATTTTAATGTTCTGAAATAGAGTTAAAAATCTATTACAGATATTTAAACGGTTTGATCAGCTACACTATGTGTGCACAACTACAATACCTGTTTATTATTGCCAAAAACTAATTATTTTAGACTTAAATGATACTACCGTGCATTGCCTCGTTGGTCGAGTGGTCGCAACACCGACTGGCGATCTTGGGTCCGATTCCCGCATGGGACAAAGTATAGCTAAGTTTTTAAAAATTCTCAGTAGTAGCACGGAGTCTGGAATTGACCCCGGTATATGGCAATAGGCTCACCCTCTATTACATGGGACTAAAAACATAAATAGTGAAAAGTGGGTGTTACATTGAACAGTGGCATAATGTGCACCTCTGCCTACCACTTCGGGGATAAAAGGCGTGATGTTATGTGTATTATGTGATACTACAGTGTTACTAAAGTTTAACTATAATTAAGTTTTCGAAAGATAATCTTATCTTTACAATGATCATGATTTATAGTTCCACTTAGTTTACTTGATGTTCTGATCTTGCCAACAAATGTATTTGAAAATATAGACTTCGTTAGAGAAGTAATGACGAAAGTACACAATTTCATTTTATAAGTAGGATAATTGTTCCTTTTTTTCTTAATACCTTCAAGCATGTCTAAGTGCCTAGCAAATGACGATAAGTATTCAACAAGTATGTTTACTCGCAAAATAAAATTATAAGTATTTTGTTTTTCTTTCCAGTCAGACGTAATGATTACAAAAATAAGAGCCAATTATCTTCTTATTTCATGAGTAACACTTAAAGTTCTTACAGTATTTTTCCAATTACAAACAAAACACTCATAGGAAAATTTTACTTTCCACAATAAACTCAACGTTGTAAGTCTTCAAGATGATACACTTGTTCATGTTTAGTGCATTCTTCACAACTCAGCGTGTGAGAATACTTTATCAAGTTATGCGGAAAACTGACGACTCAGGGAAGCCGGGAACATGGCGCCGAGCGAATTAATTATACGGGTTCTTACTGCCAAGCATGAGGATAGTTTACAAGTAGAACAGTCTATCTAAACTAAACTTTTGTCTAGGAACACAGTTTGTATATAACGAGGTGTATTTAAATAACAAATAACTACATGTTATTTCTGTGCAGTGCTTGCGGGAGAGACCACGGAGCTCTCGAGCCGCGCCTCGCTCGCTGAGCCCACGCCTACTAAATTTCCAAGTACGTCTTCTAATAATAAATAAATAAAACGCTACAATAAGATCTCGAAGCAGAAAAATGATAAGAAAACATCGGAAGAAAATGTTCTCAAATCATGGCTACAAATTGGTAAAACACTGAAATACAAAATTATACGCTGTAGGAAAAATATTCGTACAATATTGCCACAATCTAATTCGAAAGACAATCATCATAATACAATTGGCAAACATAATACATGCAATCCTTCATCATCATCATTTGTGTTTTCACGAGTGTCTCATGTACCTTGTCGAGAGATCTTATTCTAGCGGCACATTGTCTTGTCACCCGTTTGCAACACTGCACGAGTATATATACCCAGCACAAACCAGCCACTGCCAACCCGTTATATACCCGTGACAATTGCCGAGTGAGCCGAAAAGTCCACATCGAATAAAATTTCATTCGCCAAATTGATTCCAAGGCACGATTTTTTACTCAGCAAATAAAACTGAAATTGAAACGAAACAGAAAGTGTGGACAGTCGGCAAATGGGAAAACATAATAACTGGCGTGTTTCCAATAAGTGCAACACCCTGGCACAATGTAGATCCCTATCACTGCCTCCCCATTTTCGATAAAATACTTTTATTTACCTCCATTCCGTTGTCAGCTCCAACCGAAACGCGATTTCAAAACGATCCCATTGTATAGATGTGTTTTTGTTTTGGTGTGATGCCCGAGCATGTAATGTGTGTTTGTTAGTAATATCATCATGAATGATTAATTTTAAGAAATACGAAACTAGATACAATATATACATGTCTATTTACCGATACCAGAGAATAGTCTTAATCGGTAAAACTAGGCTATCATTAAAGTTAAACGTATTTAAAACCCCCCATTGTCGTCTAGCACCTACCACCCAACATAATTGTTCTTCAATTTAGATAGGAATCTGAGATCACAATCTAAGCCTAAAAGCGGTAGTGCCTTTGTCTAAACGTTTAACAAAAATCCGTCTAATGAAGTTCTTAATCGAGGTTTGCCGACAAGGAAACTTTTAATGGGCCCCGCTAACTGCCAGCAATGGAAAGGAGCGAGACTTGAACCGCAACCCGACCTGAACGTGGCAAGTGTTTGCGACATTTACCAAATGACTTCAACTCGGTTGCTATCCGACACTATTCCGAACAAAAGCTTGGCTTGCGTACAAAACATGGGCGAGTTAATAGTTTCACTTGACAGTATTGTTCATTGTGTTCGTAATAAGGGAATTGAAGATTTCAAAATAACGACAATATAAGCATCACTATACAGCAGGAACATTTTTAAATACAAAACCATTAAAAACTACTATTTCCAATTATCTCGCATTACACAAATCTCAACAAAAAGTGAATTAATATAGCAAGGGAAACGAGAGAAAACTGAAAAAGTAAACTGGAAATTAATCAGCACTAAGTAGTCTCAGTGAACATGGCTCAGTAGCTGGAAGCGATATAACAATGTACGTACTTTGGACATTTAACAAAGAATAAGCATTCTGTATACGTCTCCGTCGCTTTACCCAGCCAGTCGTGAACATGCTTTTGAGTTCCACATTCAAGAGAAAGCAGTTCTTACCTTCTAGCCCGGAGCTGCGTCGCTAAAGACGGCTATTTTGGTCCTAAATCTTTACAGGTCTAGGTTTTTAGGTGAGAAGGTAAAGTTTGTTTTTGTTTTAACACCTTTTTGAACGTTGAATAAGTTTGAGTTTAGGCTGGAGAAGTACGATGCTCAGTTTTTTGGCTACTTAATATAATTAGAAATAAGGCAATCATGAAATAAAGTAAAGAATATCATCATATATCATTTTACATACAATGGAAATACTTACAAAAATAAAATCCGATAATAGATATTATATTAAAACCGCCCTTATAAATAACAAAGCCTTTTCTTTCCCACAAATGTTTATCAATGTTGTTTCTACATATGACTCATTTTTAAATGAATAAAGCTTACTTCCCACACGTTATCTCGGTTTTTCAGGAACGTACGTAGGGGTTAAACAAAGCAGACATTTTGAGGGCGCAGTCCTTTAACGTTGTTAGCTGCCGGTGACATTTTTATTGCAAGACCGTGAGGCATAGAGCTACTCATACTAAGACAATAACATTAAATCCACGTTAAATAAATACAAAGACCATACTTTCATAAATCCTCATTTAAAACTAAAATTACACGTATATTGAAATTGATAAATTTGCTCAACAAAACTTAAAATGCTATATAGCGTAACGCTCGTAGTCAAAGTGCTACGAAATCGTAGTAGGCGTAGCACTGTGCTACGGGCATCTACAATTACGGTCGCGCGCCCGGGACAAGCAAGCATCTGGGACTTGGAGTATTTTTATTTACTAATTGGTGGGTCGTTTATGGTTTTACTTCCTATTGTAATTGATGGAATGTTTATTGCTTATTGGTGTAAACGTATTTGATTTATAATATAATGAATTAAATAAATATATTGTCATTTTAAGTCACTATGACTGCGATGGTGACCAACGCTACGAATATTAAACGATAATTTAATGTGTAACAGGTATTTAATTTTAATTAAAACATCTTGTGTTAATCATCAAGGAAATGGCGACGGATAATCCAGCGTATTTGATTTTAGTAATTGCGGAGTTGAATTGAGGGTCCATTTTCCCATGTTTGTTTAAGTGCACTAAATCGACAAGGGATTTAATCAGTAAGGTGCTTAGTAATTCAATTATGACGGCTTTATGTAAACTGTAACTTACGGTGTAGGTAGAGTGCAGTAATCATAGAACTATGTGTATTGACATAGTTGGGTACTGTTTTAACATGTATTAAATATGTGATTTGTCTACGTGGAAGCCGCAAACTCTATGCAAAAATATGTTGTAGAAATCAATGGTAATAGTTTTGGAATAAAAGGTAAATTTAAGTTGTGATTGCAAAAAAAAAATAATTTCATTAAAAAAAGGTTGCTTATCGAATTGAAACCACAACAAAGAGTAGTCTATATACCGCCACAACGTTTATCAAAACCTTAAGATGACCAAACATCAAAAACCTTTAATCCTAACACGAATTTATTTTTTATAGAGTGCGACTTCACGTTCGTGAGCCGCGCCGGCGTCACCAACGGCACGTTCCATGCGCCCGAGCTGATCAACCCGAACAACCAGAGCCGCCAGTGCCTCTACACGTTCCTGGCCCTGCCAGGCCAGCGTGTGCTCGTCGAGTTCCGCACCTTCGACCTCCGGGGAAAACCGCCAGAGTATGTTACTATAGTCACTTTATATTAATCTTGATTGCTCCTAGCAAGGTTTAATTTTGAAGTCACACGTCTATTAGATGTAAGAAAATAGTTTTGAGACACTTAATATTCTTCTTCTTCTTCTTTACTTATATATAATACTAGCTTCTGCCCGCGACTTCGTACGCGTAATCCCATTTTTTCCCGCCCCGTTCGTGATTTTCGGTAAAAAGTAAAAAAAAAATTTGGTCAAAAAGTATCCTATGTCGGTCTCCTGGCTCTAAGCTACCTCCCTACCAATTTTCAGCCAAATCTATTCTGCCGTTCTTGAGTTATAAGTGGTGTAACTAACACGACTTTCTTTTATATATATAGATAATAACTTCAAGTTTGGTGCAGTGGCTAAAATTAGTAAAAAGAAAACACTAGTCATCAGAGCGTCAATATGTAGATTCCCATAATTTTTTTTGGGCACGTATTTAGCTAAGAATTACATATAATGCCACTGGAAATTTACTTACTTCATAAACTTAGTTATTTCACTTACTGACTGCCTCATTGGCCGATTGGTCGCAAGTGCGACTAGGGGTCTCGAGTTCGATTCCCGGGTCGGGCATAGTTTTATTGGGTTTTTCAAAAAAATCACAGTTATAGTACGGCGTCTTGAAATGTGCCCGGTATAAGGCAATAAGCTAACCCCCATTACATGGGACTCATAACATAAATAGTAAAAAGTGGGTATTACATTGTACATTGGCATAATGTACACCTCTCCCTTCGGGGATAAAAGGCGTGATGTTATGTAATTTCACTTAATAAATTAACAAAAACAGTAAATAAACAATTTAATTAAAAGACAGACCAAGTTTGTTGACTATTTGAAGCAAAATCAATAAAATAAGACTTGAAGCTCTTCGAATCAATTTGTAAGTTTAGTTCGAAACCAGAAGTTGTCAAGTTGGAGTATTTCAATCAGGAACTTCAACAAAACAAATCAAATAGACCGCAGTCCACATGGTGCAGATACACGTATAGAGAAGTGTGTCTATGTATTACAGTTCAGTTAAACGGTGGTTGAGATCATAACACGTTGTTATTTGACTTTATCGCTCACTTATTTGTTGTTTTCCAGTGGAGCTGCCGTGGGAGAACTACCAGCGTAAGTATCCCTATCCCTTTCACCCTTCCCCCATTACTCGAGACACAAACATGTTTTCTACCAATACTATTATTTATGTGCATAAGTATACATTTAGGAATTAGGTCAAACATTTCCGTGAAGGGAGAACCTTGACTGGATAAAGTTTGTTTGATGTATTCCGCTAAACTCTAGATATTCATTTCGTTGATGAATTTATGATCTATTTAATATTAACTCAAGGCCTATTGTTGTCCCAGAAAAGTAGTAATCAACTGTTTGTTCTTACAACAAAAAAAAATAGAATATTCGTTTAAACTGTCAAACACCAAGCGGTCACCGGTGACCGCGACCTATTGTTCTTTAATTGTGTCTATAAAACCGGTACTCGACGAGTTAATAATGAGTACTATATATGACATCATTCGTTGTTCATCCTTATTGTAGCTACAAAAAGGGCCCTAGGAATAGAAATCCTTTACTAACCGATTAGGTATAACAGTTTTGAAATTAGAACATTTTAATACAGACTTCTTTGTGTTACTCAGATGCATGCACGAGTCAATGGACATTTACTCGGAGATGGCATCCCTGGAAACAAGCGAGCTGGTCAACTCGGCGTTCGGCGGGCGTTACTGCGGGCCCATACCGCCGCGCCGCCGCGTCTCACTGCACCGCGCCGTCGCACTCTCCTTCTACACAGACAAAATGTACACGCCGCCTACACTCTTCACAGGAACCTACCAGTTCATCAACGCATGTAAGTCAACGCAGTAGTGAAAGAATAGAAAAGGCAATCTGTAAGATTGACACTCACGATGATAAAATCGTATGTTTTGACTATCGGAGCAGCATACATAATGGGTTACATTAAAAATAGGGAGAAATTATCATTTAAAATACGTAAAATGCTAATATTGAGACATTTTTTAATAATTTGTTAATTTTTCTAGTTGTTGAACATCTGTAAACATTTAGTTCATTAACAACATTGAAGTGCCCGTCAAAGTTGGTCGTCCCGCGTCCGCATAACTAATGTCCACAGTCCAGCAGTTGGTTCCGTCACAAGTTGTCACTTACTGATCTAGGACGTTTCGAAATAACTTCAGACTAGTATCTTTAGTGTTAGATTTAGGATTAGACGAAGTTTTATACATAAGGAGAAGACTTTTGGAGTGATTTTATGTAATATCGAGCGTTATACAAGTTTGATGCGATAAAAATAAACAGTTTTCGAGAAACAAATGACGACATACGGAAGCCCACTGTTTTTTTTCGATACAACTTACTTATTAATTAGTATCATATCACAGAGATACTTTTATTCATTGGTTAGAATAAGTAACAACTTTCTATATTATTTTTCAACAGCGGAATTCGAAGTGGGCACCCCAGTTCCCAACACATTGTGTTCGTTCGTGATAGAGGCGAGCAAACGCAAGACAGGCCTGCTGCTCTCCCCGACGTACCCTGGCATCTACCCAAAGGACATGACCTGCAACTATCTGTTCAGCGGCCAGCCCGGACAAAGGATCCGACTCGAGTTCAGAGATTTCGATCTGTTTTTCGGCGGGCCACAGTGAGTTCTTTTTTATTACAAGGACTTTTTGGTAGTTTCAGTTAAACTAAATTACTCATTGTAGATAAGTACTTATAGAGACCGAAAATAACAAATGGATGTCGTTAAAGTTTTAGACTCGGGTTTCTTTTTATGACAACAATCAAACGCGTGTTTAAAGAAAAGAGAGGTCAGGTATGTAAGGCAACTGACTGCGGTCAGTTGCCTTACATACCTGACCTCTCTAGACTGAGATCATCAGACCAATGAAAATCAATCTCGTGCTTTGAACTATTAGCAACATGAGTTTTTATCTTTTATTAACTGGAGTTCTTTTAATCAGTTGTCCGTTCGACTGGGTGCGCGTGTACGACGGGCCAGACAACACGTCGGCAGTGATCGGCACGTACTGCGGCCAGCAGCGGAACCTGGTGCTGTACTCCAGCGACGAGCGGCTGCTGGTCACGTTCTACACGCTGCCGCGCGCCGCCAGCACACAGAACCGCGGCTTTAAGGGTATCTTCGAGTTTTCAGAAAGTTTTGTTAAGTTAGGTAAGTGGAATTTTCTATTTTAATAAACAAAAGTCTTTCAAAGCGGTATTTCCTTCTTTTCTCCGGATATTTCTATACACATGTATATACATACATCTACCACATGGGACCTCAGTTCCCGTTTTGACTAAATTACTTCTTTTGACTCAAGTTAGAACAGCAATATACTGAACGAGCACATTGAAAACTTTGTAATTTATTACATCCGTACTTTACGTACAAAGAGTTTTTCCTTACTCAACAATCTTTGAGGGAAAGTTTTTTATTACTTTGGTCTATTGCTTTTCAGATTTTATAAGTAAACACGACGCCGAGCACATTAGGGGCTCAGAATGCGACCAGAAGATTCTAAGTAAAAAGGAATCGACAGGTTTCGTCTACCATCCAAATTATCCATTCCCTTATATACAAAAAGTTGTTTGTAGGTGAGTAAACTCCTACTCTTTAATGTGACGCATCACAAGTTCAGAAACATCATTAACATAACAATGACTTCCTTTCAGATATTTTATATATGGTATGCAAGATTCACAAAATTTGGAAAGGGTTCGATTAGAGTTTCAGAACTTTTCTATTCCGAAGGGCGATAATCCAAAACCGGAGTGAGTATACCAATAAATAAATAAATACATTACTCTCAATGTTTCTTTCCTTTACCCTTAGGCTTTTTGCTTTTAAGTATTTTGTTTTAAGTCTTCCTTGTACAAGTTTAGAATTTTGAAGTTATCTCTATAAAATTCCAGTTCTTGTCCTGATGGGTACCTGAAAGTATACCTGCGCGGCCAGGAGGCTACAGACTCGTACGACAAACACGACGCCGAGCTGTGCGGAGAGGGATCTGCGGGCAAACCTCCCTTCCCTCCGCCTTTACTCTCCGACGGGCCCCGCCTTGTGATGGTATTCAGCTCAGGAGAACTGCAGGGCAGGGGGTTCAAAGCCAAGTATACTTTCGAGACTGGTGAGTAAAAGTTCTGAGGAGACTGAGGAGAAGTTCTTGTCAATTAATAGGATTTTGAAGGAGAGACCACGCCTAGGCAAACGTAGTGAAGGACGCCCTATAGCATGGTGGAGTATCTGGATGTGGAGTGGAGAGCTGGAGATCAAGTTTAATGGCGTATGTTTAAAGATCCTATGTTTAGTAGTTAAGACTGTTACTTTTGTTACAATGTGCAGAAACTAAAGAATATTAAAGCAGTATGATAAAAGAACATAATCATGTTACAGAATATCGAGTGCCGGGCACAGCGGCGCCGGGCGGCGAGTGTGCGTTCACGTATCGAAGCGAAGCAAAGAAGCGCGGCGAGTTCAACTCCCCCCGCTACCCCTCCAACTACCCCTCACACACCAACTGCACATACACGTTAGCTGCCAGCCCTAGTGAGCAGGTCACAGTGGTGTTCGACCACTTTAAAGTGAGGGCTGACGCCTGGAATGCGACTGCAGGCGTGTACAGGTTAGTAACATGACGAATTTTGACAAAATTTATGGAACCTTAATTCATACCAACTAGAGGACTGATCATATCCAAATATATTTTAAGCTATACGTAACTAATTGAGGCTCTGGATTTTACAGTGGGGCAACATGCAGCGAAGACTGGGTGGAAGCGTGGTGGGTGGGTCGTGAAGGCGCACGAGTGCCACTGGGCAGGTGGTGTGGGCTGGCCACACCTGGCCCAATGCACTCTCCGCGTGGCGCCACTGGCCTCGTCATCGCGCTACACACAGATAGTGAGGCCGTCGCCTCTGGCTTCAAAGCTAGATATATTTTCGAGGTAATATCAATGTCTCAGACAAAATATAATAGCAGGTTCTTTAATATGAAATATGGTATTATTCTTTACCGGATCAATTTTTGTTTATCTTCAGCCAGCGAAGTCAATATTTGGCGACTGCGGCGGCAATATGTCCGGCGCAGAGTGGGGCGTGATCACGTCCCCCAACTTCCCGCAGAACTACGAGCAGCCCAAAAACGGACCGGCCTCCAGGGTCTGCAACTGGTTCGTTACGGCGCGCCCCGGGAAGAGACTCTTGCTCAATTTTGAATACTTCGCTGTCGAAGGACATCTTACTGGTTTGTATTGTTATAATATAACTATCCATCTCTTCCACAGTTTCAAAACATCTCAACAACTTTAGGAATATTATCTTTTTTACTTTTGTTGATAAAGTTAAAGTCTTAATATGAATATAATGGAACATTGCAGAGCGTGGATGTCCAGCGGCAGTTCTCAGGCTGTGGTACGAGAGCCCGGGTCCTCCGCTCGAGCTGTGTGGGGAGAAGGCACCCGGCGACCGCTGGCAGTACCTTTCCTCCTCCAACTCGATACGACTCTCGTAAGTTATTCTGATTGTCTTTAGATTGAAGTTTTTGGCTCGTTTACATAGATTAACTAAAATAATGGTTTGATGCTGATTCATTAGCTTAAGGCATTCTGTTAAGGGATCTGTTGAAGAGTTAGTGATGTATTTCGGCTTGGGCAGGTTTATAATAGCGGATAAGGCGGTGGGTGCGACGGGGTGGCGCGCCGTGTGGACGGAGGTGACGGTGCCGGAGAGCGGCGAGTGCGAGGAGGGCTCGCTGGACTGTGGCGGCGCGTGCCTGCCGGCCGGCGCGCGCTGCTCCGGCCTCAAGCACTGCGCACTCACGGCCGACACCAAGCCCACCCACTGTTAGTATGCACCGCTTCTACCGCAGAACTGATCCACGGCAACCGACCGTCGTACGTACACCGCCCGGTACACGTCCAACCATCTGACGTCGAGGAATACTTGCTACTAAAAGTATTCGAATGATAATCGTAGACATTACTATCTTTATCGTACTTACATATCTAATGACTTTATCTTCTAGGTGTCTAAAGGAAGTCCTCGTTTATCCTTATGTTATAACTTAGATTACGACTAAGTCTAAATTGAATAAGCTAAACTTTTTCCAAATTTTTAATTAATTTGAACTGACACTGTATATTACAATTGGCACTTTACCGCACTTTGCATTTCCACTTGATAAATGTATCTACACCGTTGCATTTTGTCGTTGCATTATAGGGGTTATAAATTAAAGTCTATAATTATAAATTATAACTATGATAATGTAGCTTGTTGAGAATACTTACGGAGTAAGCAGTATATGGACTACTGACTATTTTGTTATTGTGCTTCCCTACTTGCTTGTACACTACTTGATACAAAGTGATATAGAGTAGAATGTCTCGAAATATATTTTGTCTTCTCCACAGTCTCCACCACGTCTCCACTCACTACACTACCTTCAAACATTAATTAATTACATTCCAATAAGTGAGAAAAAACTAGTATTAATTATTCGACAATAAAAGGGCATGCAACCTTTTTCCAAAATGAAATACTAAAATAAAGAATCGTTGTCATGGAAACACGAACCTCCGAGAGATTCTACTCGTAACTATCCCGCCAGTCAGCCGGTACGCCGGTACCCACTACCCACGTATCGCTACATTACGTAACTGTAACGTAACTGAGCAGGGAGTCGCAACACGAAGCTTGTCGTACATTCGCTGCTTACTCCTGCTTTTATCTTCTAAATCGTTGTAAAATATTGTATTCTAAACACTGTAGCACTGTTAACTAATAACTCTAAACAAATACAATAATGTTATGTTCACTGTACTTTCTCAGTATAAGGATGATTCAATGCAATCTTTGTCTCTAAGGAAGTTGTTACATGTACTCTAGGGATCTAGGTGTTTAGACACTTTCCATCATATAATTGTTGGTGAATTAGCAGAATATATTGAATATGTTGCAAAGATTACAGACTTTTTCATTTACATACCAAGGCTCCCCTTAGTATAATTTAAATCTAACTAGTTAAATGTTCTTCATGTTAACTCACTCTTGCATTCATAACTTCTACTCCATTTAAATACTCTATTTTTATTTTACTTCCTTCAAATACTGTGATGACTCAGGAGAGTTGCATCTCTGATCTGTCCTAAGTCTAAATTTTTATTATGTTTTTGATCGTTAGCATATTTTGTAATTTGTTGCAATTGATAAAGAAGTCACTCCAATGGGACAAAGCTTGCATTGAGTCATCGCACTATGGGGCCCGGGGTACCGCAACAACTGTTTCTAACAGAGCACTTTCTGGTGGAGTACTAGAGCTTCAATGAGTAGTTTGAAAACGTATCGTTTCTTAAACTTGATGATGACTTCGTCAATTCTATTTAGTCGCGAAGTATTGAAGTTATTTCCGAAGGAGGGAGTACGAATATTAGTAGTAGGTCGGTCGTGTTCCACCAGAGAGTGTAGGGCCCTGGGCTGGTCTGACGGCGCGGTGTGCGCAGGCGGCGCGGCGCCGGGGCGGTTGGCGGCGCGCGCCGCTCTGGTCGCGCTGTCGCTTGTGCTCGCCGCCCCGCACTGACCGGGCGCTGCGCACGTGAGTCTATACTACCACCTTCATCCTCTCACCTCAAAGCTCCTGACTCCTGACTCCTTCTGTCTCCACCGTCATTGCCGCATCGGAAAGAGGGAAAACAGGTAGCAGCCAAATATTAATTACATATTTGGATACGAGAGTCATAAACAACAAAGGCTAGTCTGTTTTCTTCTCTGCTACGCTGGTTTTATTTTAAAGATCAGAAAATATGCTCTTCGCAGTACCTACGGTTGATGCGGAAGTGGATTGTAAAAGTCGACGTTAATTTATTTGGCGTGCGTTACCCCAACAAGAAAGTATCTCCTAGAGATATATGAGTAGAACGTATAGTTGGTGCCCTACCTGCTGTAAATGTGCCCCCACTTAAAAAATGTGTGCCCCCTGTCGTTTTGAAAAAAAAACGGAAAAACGATTCTTGCTGGGGTAACGTTTTTCTAGCAGGAAAATTCTAAACGAGTGATCGGAGAGAAAAAAAATGTTCATGGCCAGAGAGCTTATATGTGTGCCACTATGTGCCCCCAAAAATAAAATCTGTGCCCCTTCAGATTTTCGGGATATTGCGTTTCCTGCTGGAGTAACGTTTTGATGAATCGTATATCTCTAAAACCATTGCATGTGCCCCTGTAGAATAAACATTCACGAGTAGCTCGTAATGTGTGCCTCTGTGTGCTCCAATTAGATTTAAGGAAATATTTATAGTTTTCAAGTTATCGCGGTTTTATGAAAATCCGAAAAACATCGCAGCGCCTAAATGAGACAAGGTATAAGTTCGCTGAAAACTGTATTCGGTCCTTCTTGATGCTAATAATAACCATACAAAGTTTCAAAACGCTTCATGCATGCGTTTTTGAATAATCTTGCTGCAAGTCAAGACGATGGTGTCATAACTTTGACGGCAAAAACAAGGAACTGGCTAAATCCCAGATGTGTAGGTGTAAACCAAAATCATGTGCCTTTAATCAAAAATATGTGGTGAAAATATTGAGCTTGGAATGTTTCGCATTAAGTAAATATGAACAAAAAACCGAATTAAGTAAACAACGGCTGGTTATCCGACCAAATTTGAATGACTACTAAAAAGCGACGGATTCATACATATCGATGACCTTCTTTATTGGACGTATTATACCTAAGCTGTTGTCCGTGCAGTTGCGTTCAAAAGTTTTGGGGGCTAATTAAAAAATATAAAATAATGCAGCTTGTGACTATATTAATGAAACAGCTTGTTGATGTGGAAATTATTATTTTTCTTCCCTTAATTTAAGAAAAAAAACTTAACTTAACTTAAACTAAACTAAACTTCCAAAAGACATAAGAAAATTTGTATTTCGCGGGCTACTCTGGAGCATTCATTTTAACCCTGTACAATTTTGTCTATTCTACTGTGTAGACTATTACATGTGGCATAATATTATATTTCCCACTTCGTTGGATTTTACCATATAAGTCATCATAACATTCAAATAAATTACTATTTTTTCTGTAGCAGTGAGCCCTGTAATGTCCAACACTATTGAGTTTCGAAGCGGGTTCATATTCTATTGCAGACAGAATTGTGTACTCCTTATTATTTACTTCAATGTTACGAGGCAGATCATCCAACTTGACGCAAACGTCATGAAGTTCATAAATGATAATATCTTTAACATTGTATCTGAAGGATATATTTCCGGCGCAACAAATATGACACTCTGGAGTAAATTCTGTTCTTAAACATGATTCGCAAGCTTCTTGTAGGTGGTTGATACCTTTAATATTATATATCTAAGTTCAACGGCAAATACTTGCATTGTACAATTTGTTTTCATCTGCATGACTTATGCACATACTATTAGAGCAAACTCTTTGTCTTATAGCAGAAACAAATAAGCTAACTATTTCATAAGGTACAAGTATTTGTAAATAAGTCAAAATAAAGATATTAAATACTTACCACCGCAGTAAGTAAAAAAACAAAAAGTAAACAAACAGTATCAGTGCAACTGCGTGACTCACATAACAGTGTCCTTGGCGTCATTACATAACTGCAACTGTTTACCAATAAAAAGAAATAATCTAAACGCACTTCCTAGTCAATAAACACTTTGTACCTATTATTCACTAGTAGAACATAATCCAATAACAACTTTATTTTATTATTTATTACTTTTCTACTTCAGTGTACTCAGGCACAACACGTGTGAACCGGTTAGTAAGTAAAATAAAGAAGGTCATCGATATGTATGAATCCGTCGCTTTTTAGTAGTCATTCAAATTTGGTCGGATAACCAGCCGTTGTTTACTTAATTCGGTTTTTTGTTCATATTTACTTAATGCGAAACATTCCAAGCTCAATATTTTCACCACATATTTTTGATTAAAGGCACATGATTTTGGTTTACACCTACACATCTGGGATTTAGCCAGTTCCTTGTTTTTGCCGTCAAAGTTATGACACCATCGTCTTGACTTGTAGCAAGATTATTCAAAAACGCATGCATGAAGCGTTTTGAAACTTTGTATGGTTATTATTAGCATCAAGAAGGACCGAATACAGTTTTCAGCGAACTTATACCTTGTCTCATTTAGGCGCTGCGATGTTTTTCGGATTTTCATAAAACCGCGATAACTTGAAAACTATAAATATTTCCTTAAATCTAATTGGAGCACACAGAGGCACACATTACGAGCTACTCGTGAATGTTTATTCTACAGGGGCACATGCAATGGTTTTAGAGATATACGATTCATCAAAACGTTACTCCAGCAGGAAACGCAATATCCCGAAAATCTGAAGGGGCACAGATTTTATTTTTGGGGGCACATAGTGGCACACATATAAGCTCTCTGGCCATGAACATTTTTTTTCTCTCCGATCACTCGTTTAGAATTTTCCTGCTAGAAAAACGTTACCCCAGCAAGAATCGTTTTTCCGTTTTTTTTTCAAAACGACAGGGGGCACACATTTTTTAAGTGGGGGCACATTTACAGCAGGTAGGGCACCAACTATACGTTCAACTCATATATCTCTAGGAGATACTTTCTTGTTGGGGTAACGCACGCATTTATTTGTATTCAGGTAATCGGCTTATTGATATAATTTGTGTCATTGTGATCCTGCTGTTATTATTTATTTTGCAGCTTTTGTAAACACGTTTTGTATCTAGAACTCTTTTCTCTTATTTCGTAGAAAATCGAGTGTCTTCCGCCTTGCTACGCTTTGTCATGTGCTATCTCGATCCTGGATTGATTAATTGCCTTCACTATGAAAACCTTCTCAGAACAAGTAACTCAAATGCTTCAGTGAATTTCACGCCGGTTACTTGGTAGATGCAAAAACGCCAGTTAAGTTTGCAGTCACTAGACAGTAAACAGACCTTTGAGAAAACTTTGTATTTTGCCTTTCTTACATTTATTAAATACATAACCAAGAATCCTAATAAAACGTAGGTAATTGCATACTTTAGGTAATACTCTGTTTGTTTGAAAACAAAATTGGATTATCTAGATGGCACCACAATCGGGTTTAGGAAAACATGACGACAATATTTTTTTCTACTCAATCTAATTTAAGAGTTTAGTTAATTAAAATGGCAATATTGGCAATTAATTACATCCATGATTGCTTCACCACACATCACTCTCTGCTTCCCTATCTATTTTATAATATTTTATACTAAAACACTCTGTATGCATGTTGTAAAACTGTCTACCTAAACTATCAAAAATAAAAATTCAAAATAAACTTAAAAAATACTAAAAGAAAATAAGTTTTGTAATATTCACTGACATCATAGACGAGATGCATACTTTCACTTCTTCATTTACATCTGCAGATCTATCAGCATCGGGGCTGATTTGCATCCAGTTAAAATTAAAATTTTCTGGTTTAACTAGTTGAGCAACGATAGCTCTCGGATTAAAACTTTTATCTTTGAGTATTGCAAAGCTTCCAAAACAACCAAACACCTAAAAGGACCGAGAGGTCGACTCCCCCAATCCGTTCCGACGTGGAAGTCGGATCGTATAATTAACACATATTTTTTTTAAAAAGTGCCACTATTTACTTTCTTTGTAATAATTTGCTTTCCTTTCCTTTGGACAGGAATGCCAAACGAACATACTTTAATGTAATTTTATGAATAATTTATTTATTTTTATTCAACAACTCGTTAACTTGTGTGCCTGTGATGAACTCATCTACCTACCTATTTATCTAGGTTTTTAGATAAAGGGAAAAATACGGTATTATGCCATACTTTTCTTTAAGAATTCCGAAATTATACGATCTCGCTTTCGCAATTTTATTCGTCGGCGTTCAAGCATTCTCAGATCCAGCGACTGTTTTAGAAGTTCGGCAGTTTAGTCAGGGAGTCGACCCGCCGGGTTCGAACGAGGTTGTAGGCGTAACGTATTCGTAGGCGGCGAGAGCGCAGTGACAGGCGGGTCCGGCAGCCTGGCGTGGTGGTGGGCCGTGTGCGGCGGCGGCGGCGGCGCGGTGGCGCTGGGCGCCTGGTGGATGCGGCGCGCACGGCGGGCGCGGGCGGCGCGCGTGCGCAGGCCGCCGCCGCCCCGCGCCCCCCGCCGTTAGCGCGCCGCGCCCCCGCTGCCCGCCTAGCCGCGCCGCCCGCGCCCCCTGACACCGTATGACGACGCGCCCACGCCGCAACGGCGACGCACGCACCACTGAATAGTTGATTACACGACTTTAACGTATAATTTGTTTTATTACTCCTTTTACATTTTAAAGCAAAACAGAAAATGGTGTATCGAAGCTCTTTGGTTAAGTTCTTAGGCTATAGCTTTTTATATTGAAAATAGGTCGGCGTTTGGCCAATTTCTCGCCTGAACTCTAACTCTTATATCTTTTAAACAAAGACGCGACCAAACTTTATTACAGTCTAGGGATACTAGAAGGCGAAATACGATATTTGTTTTTGAGACCTCATTTCTGAGTGAACTTGCGTCCGCCATTTTTCAACATCCTTAGTCCTTGGCTTATAGCTAAGCGAGAGACACCAAAATAAATACTCGAGTTACCTACCAATTTCAAAATGAGTGATGAAGAGTCAAGTTCTGTCTCTATTCACGTAATAGAGAAGTTCTTTAAACTCTGTAACTGTGTAGTGTGCAGGTGTAAGTATGTAACTTTACCATAATTCACCTCTTTTTATCGGCGAGAACGTCGCAGGGATGTCGTAGGTCGCGTAGGTCAGTCACGTCAGGTTGTTTTCAAAAATCTATAAAGACTGTCGACTTCAAGAAGCAGTTTCAAGTTCGGTTTGGTAAAACTGAGGTGAACTAAGGGACCATAGACTCGGCACTAAGTGAGTTCCGACTTGGTTGCACACAGAAATAGGAGACCTGCGTATAGGTCAGGTAATCAAGATGGACATGAAAGAGAAAGGAAACGAGCAGATAATAAGGCAAACACAGTTTTGCAAATTTATTCCACATATTAAACTGATACAAGATTGATACAAGTCGAGTTCTAACAGTATGGACATGCTATGTGGTCGAATACAAAAAAAAAGTTTAGTACAGCAATAATAAACATTACAGAAATCCTGAACTTTACAATACTACTGCCTCACACTAATGTATTTTAAGGGAAATATGTAATAAAAATAAAGCAAAAAAAACTAAAGCAGGAACACAGTCGGGAAATGTTCGAGTACAGGGGGTGGTTTTATTTTAGCCGTAATCGCTAGTCGTCGGAGAGTTCAATTCATTCAAGAATCCGATTAAATTCATTCAAGTATCCTAAGTTGTAAGTATGTCAAAAAACAACAGTCAAACTCCTTACAATATAATAATTACTGCTAAAATACACATCACATCGCAAAATGCGTTCACAGGAATAAAATATATCGAATAACATGTATTAAAAAAAAACAGACAGTCGACGGGTCCGCGACCCAAGCGCACGGTCGCAAACAGGCAACCGCGGCCGTGCGCTCCCCTCAAATAAAGTATATATTAAATATATATACGGCTAATACGACAGTGAAAAACATAAGCATAACGGGAAACTTACAATCGAAACATTTCATAACGTCCTACTTTAAGATTTTTTCGGATCGATGCGATACAAAATCGAAAACTCGAAAATCAAATAAAAAAACACATATATAGAAAAAAGTAGAGCGATCCTCTCGGCACGCAGCGAGGACCGGACGTGAACGTATCCGCGGGCCGCGAGCGCGCGCGCGCAGCGACCAGTGCACCCCCCGCGCAGCTTGTAGTGCCTCCCATGCGGGGGCCGGCCGCCCGCGGCGCCCGCGCCCGCGCTCCCCGCTCCCTACCCGCGCCCCTCGCGCTCCCCGCGCCCCCCGCGCTAGCTGGCCAGCGGCTGCTGCGCCAGCGCGCCGCCGCCCCAGCCCGCGCCCGCGCCGCACCCGCCCGCGCCCACCCGCCGCTTGCACTCCCCCCCGACGTTCTGGTGGCCCCCGTCGTGTTTACGTTTACCTAAGACATACAAAACACTTTCAAGTACAACTTCTATTAAATTCTCGCTCATTTTTCGTCAAGTGACGAATTTCAAACAACACCACCTCGATTATAACTACTTAGCTGCTAACTGCTAAAGGGAAGGGTTGGTGATACACATAGGGAGTATTCACTATAGATTTTGTTATAAGAACTCGACCTTGTGACCCGTAAGGAATTTTATGACCACAACCGGCCTAAATCATGAAAGGTCTTCCACAAACTTCAGAAGGAAAAATGGACTCGTCACTCGATCGAGCTCTACAATTTTGGCCAAGTTTGTGGTAGCCCTAAGACTAGTAAGGACCGATATAGGAGAGGGATAGTTACCGATATAGAATGTATCGAAATCCAGATTTACACGCAAACCATCAAACATGCTGAAATAAAAGGAGAAGGTTTCAGGATATTATTCAAGGGCAACGAGGTCGACCGAGAGAGAGTCCAATTTTCTTTCCATAGTAATTTAGAATTTTGCAGTGAGGTAAGTCAGGCAGGTATTAGGTGAAGTGGAGGTAAGGAATTAATGTTTTCATTTACCTACATGATGAGATCTCAAATATCTTAAGGCATTCTTTGATCTCAATTAAGTAAAGGAATATGGCAGGTTGTAGAGGTGTGCTAGTGTGGAATATGCATAGGTAGTTTAGTATCCTTGCCTGGTACTGACCTGGTAAACTTGGCTTGGCGCGGGGATTGCCACGCATGGCGCTGGGCGTGCGGCGGCCACGCGCGACGCGGCGCGCACCACCACGGGCCCCAGCCGCGGGGGCCGGCGCCGCCGCGCGCCGCGCCCATCGCCCGCCCGTCCCACATGACCCAGCCTGCGCACAACCACCAGCTCACACCCGCGACACTACCACCCGCCTCCCCCGCACTCCTGCCGGCTTCCTACGACTCAGGGGCCAGAGCTTGTCCATTACTACAAGTCGTAGGAAACCATCAGGAACGTATTGGGGAGGAGGATGCCAAGGTGGTAAAATAAAAAAATATACAGCGACCGATTTCTGTTTCATAAAATGCTTATTGAGTTTGTTAAATTTAAGCCAAAATAAAAACCTAAGCACATTAAAACCAATTATTTACATGTGAAAAATATACAAGCAGATCTATTACATGCTAGAGAGTATAAATAAACTTGCATCGTTACTGATTTCGGTCGATCATTAATGTGCTCAAGATTTCATTGCAAACATATGTTCACTTAAAAGTACAGAAAATCGGTCCAAAATATAAAAAAATACAAATACTATCATTTCAACTATAAAACTTCATGCAGTTTACTAGAAAAATAAATATCCAAAGTTTTACTTGCTATACATTAATTATAGTTGAAACAATAATTTGAATAAATTACTATCATGCTGCAAAGTTTTTTTGCTATTTGCAATACAATGTATCTATCTCAAAATACCAGAATAAATATAATTTCACAATAAATAAATGTAAATACGCAACTTACAAACGCTGTTTAAGTAGTTGTGTAATATATCAAATATTCCGGTATTAGAGGATAGTTAAACAACGTTTATGAGTCGCGTAACATATCAAAATACATAATTATATTGTGGGTTTCGAGATAAAAGTACCTGTGATGAGCTCACAAAACATGGTTAGTGCCAACGTCTCAAGCTTTGTTACGAGAAAGAACACTTTTACCGTGGAACGCCACACAATACCAAGTCGAAATAAATAAATCAAAGAAACAATCAGGTACCTACTGAAGCATTCTAATTCAATGAATCATTCAACAGTAACGCATTCCAGGATAGGGTGACGAATATCGTCATTTACTTTGCCTACACTTTACTTTTACTGAAAATGTATAACATCTACGACATTAACTAAGTGGGAGATATCGTCTAATCAAATCTAACATCGACATCCACTAACATCAAGATACAATTTGGAATAAAGTGAGCGCCAATCGGCGGTACCTGAATGCCTCCGGTTAGATCGTAGTAAAGCGAGTTGGGCCCGAGACCGAGCTCGTCGTCCTGAGTGAGGCATTTACCAAGCGGGTCAGTAAGTCTTCTCAACATATTCTCTACCTCGTTACAACAACGAGAAATTATACAACATTACTCGGGCGTTCCAAAGCTTCGGGGGCACGCTACTTTCCTCGCCTACGGGATGTGTGCGGGTGGCAAAGCTCGGGCGTGTTATCGGTTAGTGATAAGCGAAGCAAAGCTCTACATGGGGGTGACAAGCGCGGCGGCATGACGTTAAGCGGTGCAAGTGTGAAATGGCAACTGAAAACAACAGGTACAGATGAGACGGGCATGTTAGTCGGAGTGGCCGCAGCCATATAGACCTGATGGTGAGATCGGCCGACGGCCACCCCGCGCCCACTAACACTTTTCCCGGCAATCAGTGACAAGTCGGAGGCCCCGCCCGCCCAGTGCAATCACCACCGTCAGGCCTACACACTACCGTCTTTACCGAGTCACTAACTCCGTTCGAGGATGGGATTAAACAAAAATAAAAATAAAAACAGTAGATGATAAAAATTTGGCAAATCAAATCGATAGAACAATAATGAGTACAGCGACTAGTGACTAGTAAATAAGAGTGATACATTAGTGAGTGTGTGTGGGACCCACCGGTTGCGGTCTGTTGGGAGGCTGGCGGACGGCGGACGGTTGCGGTGGCCCCGCGTAATCAAAATAGAACTCATCGTACCGGTAAAATGGCTCATTGTAGCCACCTCGGTAATCACCGTACCCGTAATAGTCGTAATCATAATCTATAAACACACAACACAGGCCTTTTAGAGGCTAAGCTAAACTAACTCTAACTTACAAGCTACCGATGTCGGCTGGCGCATAGCGAGCCTCCACGACACTCGTACCGGGAAAAGATTACAAGTAACACATGCTGTCGTCACTTTACACGGGGTTCAGTACAGGTATGTATGGAACAGCACACGGGTTAAATCCAACACCTCTGCTCCTCCGTAGCGGTCACACCTCGGTACGGACCGATCAAGCAGCTTCACGGTATCGACACACGGAACAACATGCATCGTGATATGTCTAACTGTTCATGTCCATTGTCTGATGAATAAAACTGTTTATGAATTTTTTATTGAGATAATGGCTATGTTGATTGTCACGACCCACCACCAGAACCTACCTAAGCATAGTTACGTGTTCAGGGTCTAGCGGAGCCGACACCTGAACACTCACAATGACTTCAGATCGTAGCATGCACTGTCTGTTAATATTGTTATTACACTTTATATGGACCATGTGTAGCCCTCGACTATCTTTGATAGATCGAAAGTTTTCCGAAACCATGCATCGAACCTAATCCTAGCTGTCATTAATAACTAGCCTAGGTAGTAGCGTTAATGAAACATGTACTGAGGCCTTAACGATACACTATAAACTCCCAAACTTTTATTGTTTACGGGCGGCAATGAACCACCCACCTGGCAACACTCGGGGAAGTCCCGGGCTGAGTGTATAGTAGCGGCCATCTTGTTAGTAAGGGACAGTAGCGGATTGTGCGAGTGTGCGCGTGGAGACCACACCGTGTTCACATCTCTGTTCGTGTGAGGGATCGCGAGCTAGGTGGAGGGAGATAGTCTGTACTTTATTATATCTTGCAGTACGATCCCGCGGTACTTTGTATGATCAATGTACTTCTCTAGTTCCCTTCACCTGTCTCTGTGTGCTGTCACTTTGTACTGTTTATTGGCACGACGAAGGCTCGGTGGATATCCTTCACTCTGATTAAGACGTTTCACATGTATGGGACAACAATTATACGTACTCATCATATTACGTAAAGTATTGTATTACAATTTATAGTCGAGGGTTTGTGTAAGGAGAGGGCCGAGCGTCCGCGTCCGGTCGGTGTGTGTGGCGGCGTGTGTAGTGTGTGTGGTGTGTGCGTGTATGTGTGTGTGTGTTGGTATACTGACCGTAGTCGCCGCGCGCCTGGGGCGGGCGCGGCTGCGGCTGCGGGGTGCGGCCGCGCAGTACCGGCGAGCAGCTGCACCAATCGAATCTGACAGTTAACACCCGACGTTACATACATCGTGAGCGTGCCTAGCCAGCCTCGGTAAACTTTCAAACCTAGCCCCGCTGCACTTACACACACGTCCCTCTCCGTCTCGTCACCTGTTTCCTTACAAGCGCGGTGAAACATGTCGCCCTGTTGCTGTTGCTTGTTCGTCCTTTGCTCAACGCTTGCAACGCCATTCGATTATTTTACTAAGGCGTACGTCACATACGTTTAAGTAATCTGTATCTTTTTTGCAATCCTTTTTATATCATCAAAAACCAGTGTTAAATATTAATAAAAAAATCTACAATCATTTACATTTAAAATCATTCAGTTACAAAGTTGCGACAAGTTTTATTCATCCATCTGTGTGTGAAGCGCGCGTTACCATCAACATTTATTGCCATTCAAACAACATTTTAACAACGTATTCATTCATGCTACAATTCTTTGCAACAATGTTAATCTGCAACTCACATTAATGTATCAAGTGCGTACTTGTTTCATTACAATATTGTTAGGTATAACAATTGTGATTTATGACTATTGTATTCTTGATACGTTTTTCCTTTTTATTTACATTGAGATATTTTAATGAAGTCGGTAAATTATCTCTTAAACATTTTAAGGAAATTGAATGGACATAGATGCTGATGTTCGGGCTTTGTTTTCCATTTATGAATTTTGATAATTGTTTTATTTTTCTCGTTGGAATAACTCGTGCAGATACAAGTTCCAACGACCCTGTTTGATGGTTTACTGAGGCATAATTAAGATCATCTTTGCAAATTGAAAATTTATATTTAAACAATTAAGTTGTAATCTTAATCTGAGATGTATCTTTAGCAAAATGTACGTCGGGGATAGTAGAACAAATAATTAAAAATAAAAGTTTTACAGAGAAACCAGGAAACAAATATCAAGTTTATTCATTTTGACTAAGAGACAACTGTTGTTGCACACCTCTCATGAGACACTGTTTGACGAGTTAACATGACTAGTTTCAAGCCACGCTAGGAGCTTATAAGCAGTTGAGACAGAGAATCAATCAACATGTTAGTGAGGTTTAATAGGTTTTTTCTCGTCTCTAGAGCAAAATGAGTTGACCTAATTTGTTTGTTGGTTCCTCAAGAGTTAGTAAAAGGTTACGAACTTACCCGCCGCGGCCATGGATCATCTGCATCATACGTCGTTCGCGAGCGCGCAGTATTTCTTCTTTCTTCTTCTTGTCGGACGGGGGCTTGGCTAGCGACACTTCCAGTCGCGCACCACCCATTTCTTTACCGTCTAGCTCTTGCATCGCCTGGAAATTTGAGGAGCAGATCTGATTTATCGTATTTGTCTATCAAACTTTGCTATAAGAATAAAAACCGTTCTATTTCGGAAATATGTTAAACCATTTGCGAATTTAGTTAGTCCTTTCATGAAAGCAGAACTAAGAAAATAGTTTTAAATAGTTTGTCTGTTCTCTATAAAATATGTATCAACTTTAAACTGTATGGCACACCTTTACTGCACAGTCCCGGTCCTCAAAATGCACGAACGCGTAATCCTTAATCTTCTTGACGCGTTCCACAGTGCCGTAGCGCTCGAACTCTTCCTTCAGCGCGTCTTCAGTTATCTCTTGCGTCAGGTTGCGCGCGTACAACACCTTCACCTGTCACATCACACAGCTATACTACTGCAATCTATGCTCGTTTAGATGGCTGCACTATCGCAGCATAGTACACACAAAATGGAAAATTTGGGCACTTACTTTGCTCATTGTTTGCTCGTCAGGTTCCTCTTGTGGGTCCGCCCAATCCACTATTATATCACAGCCCCATACCTGCTCGAATTATAAACAAACATAACATTACACTAACGCTCGGCTCTGACGGCACCAACAAATGGTACATCGCGAGAAGTGTCAGAATTAACATTTACCTTTATTCTACCAGTGCCAAGTCTACGTTTAGCTAGTGACGCCGCTTTGTGAGACTCGTATTCCAAAAAACAAAATCCTCTATTTTTCTTCTTGTCATCGGGCGAACTATATATTATAACTTCGACGAGCCCAGCTGCAATCATAAAATATGGATAAGGACCAGGAAGCGGGGCGCAGGCACGCTAACGGTATGAACAAAGCTTCCCTCGAGCCCGACGCGCAAAAGTCAGTCATTCAACGCTACAGAATATGAAGCAAATCAAACAATATTCCAGGAGAACATATACGGTACTGAAGAATTCTATTCTAGAGAACAACAGCAAGGTTCTCCAGTCATGACCAGTGAGCATTCTCGAGGCAAAGGCCAATCAAAGGTACGGTCGGCGGGCCGCGGGCCACGGCGCCGCGCGTGCCGTCGGCGGGCCCCGCGGCAGGGCCCCGCGGCAGGTCCGCGGCCGGGCCGCGGCCGGGCCGCCCCCTGCGGGCCGCCCCCTGCGGCCGCGCGCGGCGCGGTGCTCCGCGGCTCGCTAACTTATCAACCGAGTAGCACTTATTATGAATTCGACAAGGACTTACGTGCGTGCCTAGTAAACTCCTCAAACAAATCGTCCCGATCTCGATTCTTAGGGATATTCCCCACGAATAACCGGTGATTGTTAAAGGAAACTGTTACGCCAATCTTTTTCCCCTTTCGAATTTCATAATCATTCAGCTGCAAGAACAATTCGAGGGAGAATAGCCTGGGCCGGGGCCGGGTCGCTGGGCGGCGGCCAGCCCGGCTGGCGGCCGTATGACTGGAGATCGCGGGAGGGAGCGCAGGACAGGGACAAGCGGGACGCAAGCGGGAGCCCGAGCCGGTCCACACCAAGCCCCACGCACTCAACCCGACAACTCTATAAACTCCTTAATTCATTCGAGTGACACTTTACCTGTTAATTTACCAAACTCTTCCAGTATCTCCTCTTTGCCTTTAGACTTGGGAATGTTGCCGACGAAAAGTCGCAGATTCGGTACGCTAATCTTAATTCTCAGAGTCTTCCCAGGTTTTATTTCGTGATTATCGAGCTGTGGGAAAAATAACAAGGGAAAAATTTTGAAAAAGGGCGTCGATTCGGACCCTTGTGGCCGTAGGCCTGCGAGGCTTGCCTCGTCGACGCGCGACGAGCGACGCGCGAGAGATGATGACGGTTAGAGCCAATCGTAATGAGTTAACTGAATTTGGATGATAAGCCGACAGTGTTGTACGGAGCAAAGAGGAGAGCCTGAGATATATTAAATTCTCAGTTGGAGAACTTTTCGAAGCCAATTCAAAGTTAACCCTGTAAGTGGACCGTTTGATGAAGTGAAAATAAAAAGAAGCGAGTACGTGTCATGGTAACAAAAATAAAATAAAATTAAAGCAACTTAAAATTGAACGAGGTGCAACAGTAAGAACGGGATGATATCTCAGGACAAGCGAGGCTAGATCAGTTTATAGGTGTTATGTTTGCACATTTACACAAATTCAGTGATTATACATATTAATTGGACGGCGGCTGCTTGCCACGAAGCGTTCAACATCTTCAACTTTATATTATTATACTGTGAGCAGATACAAAAGGGAATCATTTAGTGCGGATGAGTGCAAATGGCCGCCGTGAGCGGGATATTAATGACATGCTTTTTAAATGATAGAAGAAGCTTAAATCTAAGTCTCCCAAGTGTGACTGTGAACATATTCGACAGGCAAATGATTGGGAACTTGCAAAAATACTGGCTGATGAGTACTAGTAGTCTTGCAAGTGACGCCGCGGTTTGGTCACTCCCCCTGCGCTCGGAGGAACCATCATGATGCTGCGGACTATGACAACGACTAGCTCTGCTTCAGCAGACGACAGTGGCGCAGAAGGAACGTGATGGTTCCGCCTGGGGCGCGCGCAGGGCGAGGGGCCAAACACGAGGCAGCTAAGTGCTGTGATACTGTTAATCTGTCAAGGGAATATACTTAAACATTTCGGCGAGTCACCTGGAAAGTAGACGTCAAATTAGAATAATTTTGTTTCAAATTAATAACACCAATTTTAATCAATATAAAAAATCCTCAGAAAAGCTTTAGAGTTTTGACACAATTTTGTGTTACCAATCGTGATATGCTGATAATGAACAATTGCACCATTGTTTTAGTTTTGCGATAACACAGTGTGCTGTAATGTTGGCTATTGGTACAGATGTGCTCGATAACATCCATGTATCGCACAAAGATAGGTGCCGCACTATCGGCGCAGGCCGCTGGTTATCAAAATATTTGCAAACCGCCAAGGACGCGCTCTGTGCCCACAGATGGCACCAATCTTTGTAGCAAATGTTTGTTCAACAACTCTACGGCTTATTGTACACTAAAGTTCGAGGGAGTGGTAATTTGCTTTCATCATAGATTCAGCATAATTTAGAGCTCAGGTATATCGGATCCAATAGTCAAAGCAGGAGCAACATCGACTAAATAAAGTAAAATGAAAGTTTCCAAACGATACTAACCAAAAATATATATAGAACATCACGTAACATGCATTAGCTACTCTAACACGTACGGACTACCTCTCCCCCGAACGACAGTGCGTGCGGAGACGGCGCGACTACGCGGCGGACATGGGGCTCACCTCCTGCACGGCGCGCTGCGTGGCTTCACGCGTCGTGAACGTCACGAAGGCGTAGCCGCGGTTGGTGCCCGTCATGGGGTCCATCATGAGGCGCAGGTCCCAGATGGTGCCGCAGCGCTCGAACAGCGGGATGAGCTCGTCCTCGTACATGTCCTTCGGGATCTTCCCGCAGAACACCTCGCAGCCGGCGCCCGGCGTACCGCCCTCCCACCCGGGCGGCGGCCCACCGTACTTGCGTTGACCTGTGCCAGGGCAACATCATATCAGAATACACATTACTACCAGAGTATAGAGCCATAGCAAATTTAATCCTCAAATAATGAATCTATGTTCGATATAGTCGAAATCTTAAACGTTCTGATACTAACTTGGCGCAAACTCTTAAATAGTTTTATTTTATAATGAACGGAAAATGAACATTCGTTATAATGACGAAGAACTTTTCATTTTCCGTTAATGAATAATTTTAATTTTCCGGTAATTATTACTAACTAGAACCTGCAATGGTAAGAAAATCTAATTTTCTTATTAGAACCAATTCTTATACAATATCAGATTGCAAATCTAATTAGATTTTTTAATCTGATTGCTATTTACAATTGAAAATTAGTAAATATCACACCTACCAATATTGAATACGTAAGCAGCACTACAAATAGAATTTAAATGCTAGACTAGAAAAACACTGCGTAGAAATGCTCCTTACTTATTAGATGTCATCTACTTTACAACTTACTTTTCAAGGACACTACGTAGACTTCATAGGCCGCTTTTATACCATTCCTACTAAATTCCATGCATGCAAAGCTACAAGTAAGCAGCTAGTCATGAATATTCGCCAGTTACTTTATTAGGGACTGAGCGATTGCGAAACACTGGGCGAAAATCAAACTCTGTCTGTGCTATTATTACTGAGTTTCGAAATCGAAAGTTGTATAATACTTTGGAGGCAGTCAAGCAAAGCTTTTACACTAATAAATAAAAAGTCTGTATGAAATTACAGAAATGATAAAATTTTCGTCCATTGTCACTAGATATTTATTGTATGTTTGGTGGTCTTATGATCACAAGCGCAACTAATAAGCACTAGTTTGTAGCTTCGAGAGCAAGTGTTCATGATTTTATGTAGTGTACTTAAATCGGAATTAGTTCGAATATATCCAGAGCTGTAAAACTACGCTCAGTATGACAGTGATTTAGAGCCCCTTATTTGGGGTCTTAAGAAGTAGGAATCTCTCAGCGATGTTCATAATATAATTACCAAAGCAATTTTGAATTTGGTAATTGGTTGTCCATAGAATAAGTTTTAGAAATTTTATACAAATACTTGATATTACAACAAAGACATCCTTGAAATGTAAGAAAGGACAACATAATGAAGTACACACGTCCTTCGCGCCGCATTGCACACAACTTGAGAACTTTATTATTCGCATGTACAATGTACGCGTGTGCGCACGTTGCATTCACAATCAAATAACATTGTTTTATTTTGAAGAATGCTGCCTGTTCGGCTTAGTAAAAATGTGGAAAAACAAGATAGGCAGTAAGCAATAAATCGACCGACTATTTTGCGTACAATTAAAATTATTGCTGTCGCAGAAGAAAATATAAGTGGAATGAACTATTCCACGACAATAGTATTAAAACATAGTTAATTACACACTTATTGAATTGTTTAGAATTAGATTGTAACTCAAAATGATTGCGTCTATTTACAGATTCCTTCTCCTTATCTATAAACTAATTTCTCCATTAGTTATCTAATGGTCAAAGGTCTGTGGTCCCTTTTCAGCTAGTGTACTGACCTGTGGTAACATCTAACGTGTACCCGGTCCGGGCTAATATTTGTTTGATCTTCTCTTCGTCGGGGCCCTTCACGGGGACAGTTGAAGCCAACGCGGGCGCTCCTTGGACACCCGCTCTGCTTTTCTGTCTGAAATACAATAGTTCACTCATCAATTCTTTTTGGAAGAACCAAAAGTATGTGGCTTGCACTTAAGTATTCAAAAAATTTACAACAACTTATGACTTTAACTTTCAAATTCGAACTGAGTTTTTATTGTACTTTGCCATTGTGGGGCTTTATTGGGTACAATAATCACTTAACAAATAAACCTTAGAGAATCAAACGAGACAGGGTTCAACAGTCATGTTACAGACACTGCGCAATTGTGGCACTTAATACTCGTACAGAAACCGACACTCGTGATACAAACTCAATTTACGAGATAATTATAACTATTAAAATTGGAAACTAAAATTGCATACCCAACTTAACAATAAGGCCACTAAGGATAATTCCAATTAGCATTTTATTAAATCTCGCAAACAGGTTCTGCATCACGACTGCACAGGGGCTAATGACCATCCGTAATCTAATCTTGCGACGGGCGGCGCAAATAAACACGAGGACACAAGCAAAATGATCCGTCAGTCCGTCACAGAGCGACCATTCCAGCTACAGCCACCGTGTCGCGTATCAATTAACGGGTCACTTTCTCGCCTCATCCACTGTCTCAAGTTATTCTGAACTCTGGGGCATATTTACTGGATACAAGCACGTTGTATGTACCACATAAACACACGATGTAATATCAGGATGTAAAGATTTGACTATTAGATTCCTAACGTACATTTTTTTCTACTAGAAACCCTAATCATAACTGCTAACCTACCTCAACGCGGTAATATCCAACAATTAATCCCTTAACGTAACTACTACCCGAGTTAAGAACTATTAAGGCACAACTTTGCTACCGAAAAGTGCTAAATTTGCGGAACACCACCTCCACCTAATGTCACTATGAGGGCATTTCAGAAACGACAATCAGTTTTATTGCATTTTAATGGTCAGTATCGAAGTGACCTCTTCTCTCAAAGGTCGACACTTCGACACGACATATTTAATTCGGTAGACTGTAGGAACAATAATTTTGATTGGTCGGAAACTCCCTAGCCGGTGATTGGCTTCGTCAAGGCTTGATGCTGTACAAAAAAGGTATTTTTAAATTCTGCGTCGATTTTCACATTGCCATTCCGAGACAAGGTCGTGCAGTATATAAAACCGCATCGTTTCCTAGTTACTCAGGCAGAGGGCCGCGCGATTTAAATTCAACGGTTGTCCCATAACGCGGCCTATAATATGTCAAATCAATTTTTTAAGATTGTGACCTAGATATACCGGGCAGTTTGGCAATCATCCAATATTATGATCGTGTTGCCAAGCGAAATAATAAAACATGGGTACTCACCTATAGGTCTTCATGACTCCACATAAATAAGCACTTTTATTAGATACATGCTCGAGATTTGAATCTAAAAATTGTCCAAGAACACTTAAAGCACCGTCGGATGGAAATTCTTTTAAGGCATCTAACGCACGTTCATCCAGTTCGGCGTGCGCTAGCTTTCCAGTCTTATAAATGTCGTCGAGCTTGGCTGCTACCTGGAAACCGACATTATATTCTCCATTAAATACAATTTCTAGCGATATAGAAATCACAGCGTACGAGTTTCGCACGGTGGCTATTCAACGGTGAGTAGGTACATCGTTATTGTCTATTCCATTTTAAGTTGAGCCAGCGTCGCGTACGCAACACCGATGAATACCCTGCTATTACTTGTGGAATTTATCAAAAGATACTTTAAGGCCACCATATCCTGTATTAAAATACTTGTTTAACTCTTATGATTTCATAAATGATATCAGATATTACCTACACTTGCCGAACTAAGTAATTTTTATGTACTTGATGGGTACGTTATCAGTTACGCGCCCATTAAAGTAATTAAAGCTTGAGAATGCAATTTTTGATTAGGCAGGTACCTATCATAAGAGTAAATGTAGAATATTATATCATAAACGATATCGTATCACTTAGCTATCCTCACGATAATGTAGCAGTACACTGACCATCGCAATTCACGCAAGTAAATAATTTTATGTGTGAAGATAAGAGAATGAAGTGTTACTATGTAACAAACACACACTGCCAGCTATGGGCGGGCCTGTGTAAGTATTTCTTCGAAATAAAGGATAAATAATTTAATACTTTAAGTTGCAAAGGACAGTGACGAGGAAAATTACTCAGTGCCGCCCCCCGCACCGTCCTCGACCCTCTCGACGTCTACTGCCCACGACGTCTACTCATGCCACCAAGTACACACATTATGTATCAAAGGATTTTCGAATATAAATTCATACTCCATTGTCTATATACATGGATAGCAAACCTTTTTTAAAACACAGATGGAATTTAACTGGAATTGAAATCAATTAGATTTTTTCCAATAAGATATTAAAATCGAATTGGAACAAAATTTGCCTACACACTATTAATTTGCCTATATTATTAATTTCCTATTTATTCTAATTAGGTTATATTTTGTATACAATAAAAGTACATAGGTATTTTGATTAGCCCAGTACAAGCACAGCTATCCAGTAACAATATGTATATTTGATAGCACTGAGTGGCAACCAATTATAAAAACATGCAAGCCTGTATGTATGCATTGCAGGTGCCCAGATAATAAATGGCAGAGGTCAAGACAACACTATCAAACAGAGAAAGTGCAAATATATGCTACCAACATAACAAGTTTTCTTTTAGGCATTTACTGTTCAAGTGTAACAACATAGAGTATGGAATACCCACATGGATTTCTAAGAACTAATACCTAGTCTATGATAAGATGTGTGAATCAGTACCTACTGAGTACTAAACCTGTTTTATTACCTACACACTGATGTTTAAACTTGATTTTATTACAGCCACTGAGTATGAGTTAGTAATGTTAATTCAGAATGACTTTTCTACACATTCAGTTTTTAACTATTAAGACATTTTTGTATTTTATTTAGGTACATACACATAGGTGTAATGATATTACAATTTAAGCCTTTATTAGTGGAACTGATTTAAATGAAAATCTTTCTTTGAAACATCCTATAAGCCCATAAGTTTAGTACCCTTATCTATAAAATTTAACTAGGCAGCTATTTATGTAATGAGTCAGATCTGTGTTTTGTACATGTACTGAGTATATAACACATACCATAATAATATAATTATTATTAGCAACATTAATATCAAAAACATCTTATTAGAATATTCAAATTCCAATAAGAATACATTGCTATCAAATTATTGATATTTAATATTCCAGTATGTAAGTAGTATAAGAAAAAAAATTTATATATTTCTTCAATTTAACTCGTCGAGTACCATATTTATAGACACAATTAAAGAACAATAGGTTGCGGTCACCGGTGACCGCTTGGTGTTTGACAGTTTAAATTTTAAAATAATGTAAAGAGGTAATAACAAGACATTTTAACTGAATAAAAAATCTAAATGAACTGATATTTGACTGAGCTTGCCTTGAGGCAATATATTGGTTGAGTTGTGAGGCTCACTGCTGAGCCGGACAGTTTCAGACACATTACTTCTGTTAATACATATTCATTAAATATTATCATTTACTAACCTATACCTACAAGATATCACTACATACATCCAAAATATACCAACACATTTCATAAAATATGGCAAACTTAAGTTTCATATCGGCAAACTTGTTTTTTGCAAATTGCCAATTTTGCAAGGCTCTTCGACAGCAAAACAGTAATTTGTAGGGCATTTAAACTACTCCAAGCTACTCAATATAAACCATATTAACTAAAGACTACTAGGAATCAAACCTTACCTTAGGATCCAAGCCATAGTCAATGAGTTTGCGGTAATCCGGTGTCCGGCCAACATCGGAGTCCTTCCCAGGTACCTCTTCAATGGGTATTTCTCCATTGCCCTCCGCCATTCTGCACATTCATTATCATTTTACACACACTACACTCAATTGTGGCAGCTTAGGAGGGTTTCATGTAACTTTAGAATAAAGTTTAGTATGATTTAATTCACTAAGAATTGGGATCTCTTATGGCTTGCCTACAGATGATGTCATTGAACAGCGATTCAAGGAAGCCACGCGTGTGAGCAATGCCTTCAAATAATTTGCTAAAATAATATATTTTAAATTTATATAATAGGTACGGAGGAAAATTATAATATTTACCTTTATTTTGTAATTTTTGTAATTTTGGAAGAAAATGATAACTCTCTAATCGTCCGAAAAACAAAAAAACAAATGATGTTCAAACATATGAAACTGTGAAACAATGGGATTGTGCACTCCTCATTCCATCCGGGTGAAGGTGAAATTTCAAAAAGCGAATGCGCGTGTCATTGCATTCTTCTAGTGAAGTGACACAATTTTGGAGCCTAAAAAACGAAAATCGGAATTATGTCAAAAAATCTAACAACACCACTAATATAAAGGAGATGCGAATTCCGGCGGTCAATGACCGAAATAACACAGCAAACTGTGACAGCTCTTTAGAAACCGCTTCACATATCACTTTTAACGAATAATCACTTTAAAACACATTTACAATCCTCTTGGAGCAAGATATAAACACTAGAAACTTTCCGCGCATGAAACTTTGGTGAATGCAAAACTGCAATAAGTTGAGAGTGCAACTGCATTGCACCCGATAAGAACCGGCCGGCGCGCGCCTCAATATCCAAAAAGAATCCAATTAGAATCACCACAACGGATGCCAGAAGATAGAAAACACTTTGATACACAATCACTGAACGACAAAATCAATCAAAAACACTGTACACGAAATAATTACCTATTAATTTTGCTAGTTGGTGGCCGAGACAGATATGGCGGCGCGACGTCAACGTGACCGCCAGTACGGGGTTCTCATAACGACGCGCGCGGGACATGCAACGAGGAGTGCATTCAAAGTTTAAAAGGCACTTAATTTCTTTGTTAACTTTAAACTACCTCTCTGTTTTCAGACTAATTGTGAACGCATCGAAATATTAAGTATTTTATTGCACAGAGAGTTTTTGCAATGGTTGCGATTGCGAATAATTTTGAATGTGAAAGAGCGCGGCGCGTCGCGCAAGGCTGCCGGCCGCGAGGTGAGACAGGCTAGCGGCAAGACGGCGACGAGCGAGAAGCCGAGAATGAAGGGGGGAGGGTGTTGCAACCACCGGTGCAGGCGTGCAGCAGCGACGCCGCACCGAGCTCGCCTGCATACTTGCATACATACGCACACTTGCAAACTCTTTGACCTTCGTTACTCGCAATCGATTCACTGCCAGTTTCGCCTTTGTTGCTACAATTACTTAAGTACTTAGGTTTTGTCTCATAACACGTTGTTTATATTTACAATCTTTAATTCGAATACAAATCAAAACAAAAATATTATTAAACTTTCTAAAAAAAACTATTTAAAACCCAATAAGTAGGCTCCAATAAACTTTACTTTTAAAATAGATAAATATTACAATTCTTAATGGGAAAACTATTTTCTTATAAGTATAAAACTAATTAGACATCATCAATAATGGTTCTAATAAGATTCCATTACCTACGTATTACAAATAAAACATCAATATTAAGTAGGTTCCTATAACTTGAATAAAGTATTACTTGAATAATGTAGCATTTCATTCAATAAAAATCACACGGTTACTAATCGACGTTGTCCAATAGTAGAACAAGGTTCATTACTCTTTGATATGGAAACGAAGGGATAAAAGAGTTAATCGCAATAACCCCTCGCCTTTAGTTCGCTTACACCTGCTGATCATCGAAGCCGTATGTATTCGCGACACATACACATATTTAAAACTGGCCTTCGTACTTCACTTGTATGTGTAAGTAAGAAACTCGGATCTGTATCCGTCGCGTTATGTGGGTAGGTAGGTAGGGCAGCTACTGCGGGTGTCTCGTTTTGTACGGACAAGGTTCCAATACGGCCCTTTCACTGCCAATATGAATCTTAATTTCAACTAACATGAGGTCGAAAATAGCTCAAGCCACTGATGCAGACTCTTCCTTTCTTTACAAAGAAAGAACTCTGGTGTAGTGTGTCTTGTAGCACCACGACAGACACACTTCCTTTCTCACATTTTCTTAATATCAATAGCGATAAAAGTATAGCGGCAAAACGAACTCTCACCGAGTTTCCGGTGCAAACCTAAGTCTTGAGAAAAGATTTTGTTCGTATGATAATTTTAATTAATAATTCCGTAGCAGAACATTTTAACTTTCAATCAACATTATTTTTCCACGTGATAATTATAACAAAAAACCGATATTTTACGATTAAGTCGAGAACATCACTATTTTTAATTGACAACTGTTAAAATTTGAGTTGTGATTATTTTATTCTTTTTTGATTCGATTCCTATACTATTTTGTGTCGACCAGTTATTACAGAATCATTCATTCTATGGTAAAACTCTTTGTACGAACTTAAAAATATTGAAACTCCTTGTAAGTAAATATTGTGTTTCATTTTTCATTGATATGAACTTTTACAAACTTACATCATGAAATGTTATTACTCACCATTTCTCGGGACCTTAGAAATAGCACGAACCATCCGTCATGGACACTCACATCTATAAATAACCATTTTGCAAACACATAGCACAGCAAGCTCGCTCCGCTTGCCGCGCCGCGTACTACATTTCGCGATAAGGTACCTACTTGTGCGTATTTTAAATACGTCAACAGTTCATTGACCCTCGCGCGGTTTCGCATCGTACGTTGCTGAATTTATTGTGTCTGTAGATTTGTGGGTCACTGTACTAGCTGACGTCAAATTGGGGGCCCAGACGATGATGACGTCATCTTATCAAATTATACTAGCCGGTGATTCTAGTTCTATTTTATAATAACGTGTTCACAAAACGAGTACTATGAATTATAATAGCCGCCCTAATCTGACCTGACTTAGTTTGAATAATAGTGTAAGTAATCGTGTCTATCATGTGTGCCGAGGTCATTGCTATTTGTTTATTTTTTTGTTAATTCAAGGGCGTCTTCGCGGCCGGCACGAGTAATCATCGACGCGTCGCGTCGCAAATAAATATTTTTTGTTGTTTTTATAGGTAGGTAAGGTAGGAACGCACCTTATAGTTTTTAGGCCTCTTAGTATCTACCGTGTAGGTTTGGTGTATTTCACAAGATTGATATTATAACAAATATTAATTGAGCATTAATAGAAATATTTATGCGAGTCTAAAGATTCTTGTCTATTGTCGCGGAGGTTTTCGACCTTTGCAAAATGCGCGGCGCGTCGCATATTCAATAGAACACAAACTGTTTTTTTTTCTTACTATAGACACGTCTGGCCCTGGTGTGAGCTGGTGTCACAGATGTGGCTATTATAGAATGTTATGTTGTAGGTTGTAGCGCGCTTTTTGAAACTTGTAACGCAATTATTTTGTATTTTTTTATAGATAGTACCTACATACTTTCGCAGTTTGTATTGTAATTAAAGTTAAAAACTAGATACACATAAATAGATGTTAAAGTTCCCTACCTGTGCATTAGATAGAATTCATAAAAATATTCGCAACACGTTTAGTAGGTATGCTGAAGTCTTGATTTTACTTCAGTGCAGCATCACTGCAGCAACAGCATGCAGCCAAGTTCACGTTGCTGCCATGGATATCATGACAGTTACATAATTCGAATAATAACACTGTACCACGCACACATGCACTATCATGAATCAATATAGAGTTCCTCATTTCTAATTTTCTAACGTTTACATAGTGCGTCGAAGACCGGCCTCTTGAATATGTGGATCATTAACTGAGGGCGTTCGTTTTAGCGCGTTGCCAATCAAACGTAATGATGACGTATTAACAAGAATAACAAGTCATGTAGTTGTAGTAGTGTGCGTACTTCCTTCTATTCGCGAAAAGCGGTAGAGTTGATCTATTCTTGCTACTATTGGTTCACAAATTGAAATGCTTAGCGTTCCTGCGTTTTAAAATCGTTCAGCGATTAATCCTTCACTTCCAATTTTATTGCATTATCGTGATTAGGTAATGATAATTGACATAGTTAAGGTGCATCGTACCTAAGCTAATTAATTAAGATGCTAAATGTGTATTCCGATTTTGTTCACGCAAAAATATAAATACAGTTACTTATACAAAATATACAAAACGATGAATGTACTGATATTAATTAGTTAAGTCACCCTCGCAACTATAACCAGGTCCCTGCTTGTAATCTTTCAGCGTCATATACGTACCTACTTATGAAACTTTCACAACAATGGGTAGGTCAGGTTTAGTTCTGATCTGTATTTACACTACACGAAAAAATTTGCATCGTGATACGCAAATACCCAATAGCTCTATAACATAAATCAACATTTGCGCGCATATTCTTTTGCTTTTCTGGGTTCCTTAAATTTGCAAAACACTTCATAGAAAACGTCAAATACTACCAAAACTGTGCGAAAAATCTTAAATCATATCAGCGCGTCAACGATTTAGGTGTGAAAGCGTAACAAACAAATTCACTTTCCCTTTGTAAAACTATGGATTGTCAAGATTTGGGAGACAAAATGATTTCTTTAAAATGTATGCACAAAATAATTTAACCACCTGTATCCGACATTCGTAACTTAATTTCTAAGGTATTGTGAACGTCACAATTATTAAATCCCTTTTCAGAAGAAATTATCAAAATCGGATACTGAGAAGTGACCTAAATACTCGATCTAAATTGTTTTAATAAACAAAGTCACTCCTAAAATTAGCCACATTGACATACGTACGGAGAAATGAAGCAAACCACAGCAACCACAGATCAACAGGTGCAGTCGACGTAATTTGTGAATTCTTTAAAGAAATTCCCCGAGCATTCTCAAGTGGCATGCACGCATTTACATATGGATATCTATGTCCGACTCGTTTCTTTGCGAGGGATCC